GTGTCAAACAGTCCTGAATTTTTTGTTTATAGCCTAATTTTTGTAAAAGGTCTTGGGGTAAAGGAGTACTGCTGCTTTACGGGCTGCCTTTTTATGTAATTTGAACCTTTTGTCTTAGGATGTCGTGAGGTGTTTGTAAGGTGCACGCTTCCAAAGTGTGTTAAGTAATGTCTTGTAGTTTTAGGAACAACAGTAAACTCTAAATAATCAGTCTTGTGAAGATATGATTGTAGTGCTAGAAAAGATACCTCCTGTTTTCTGTTTTCAGGTGTTCCAAAGGGATGGGAATGATTTGCATATGACGCACAAGATAGGACTTGTTGAAGCTCTGTGTGGATTCCAGTTCACATTTAAGCACCTTGATGGGCGTCAAATTGTGGTTAAATATCCTCCTGGAAAAGTAATTGAACCAGGTAAGTGTGAGGAGATAAAGACTCCTGTGACTGTGCTTTTGTTGTTCTTGAATATCTAATTCCATTCTTGTTTTGCTTTTACCTGAGCCCAGACTGGAGAATTGGGTGGGGCAGGACTGTTTCTGAAGCAGCATTCTGCAGATTGGTTTCTTACCCTTACAGGTTGTGTCCGTGTAGTCAGAGGTGAAGGAATGCCACAGTATCGCAATCCTTTTGAGAAGGGGGATCTTTACATTAAATTTGACGTTCAGTTTCCTGAAAATAACTGGATTAGCCCAGAGAAGCTTTCAGTAAGTAGTCTTTCGAGCATAAATTTGGTAGTTTTATTGGGCAGTGCATGCAAGGTGCTTGTGTGTTAGCCCCCTGTGCTTGCTTTGTAATCTGTAAATGTTAATAAATTGTTCTATTAATACTGTTCATAGACAGCATATTACTTGAAATGTGAATTGAGATTAAGGTTTCTGGAACCTGTTTTTAAAAGCGGTGTTGATTTTTGGGTAGATGAGAAGAGAATCTATGACCATGTGATAAGTCTTGAAAGTGCAACTGTATTTACTGATTGGACACTGGTTGATAATGTGTGGAGCTTTTTCTTTTTTTTTTTAATTTGTTTTCCAGTTATTGCAGATACTTTGGTTACTCTTAAATGAGTTATGCACTTCAGAGCTTACACTAGTTTAGGCTTCCAAACCAAACTTGCTCCAAGGAGTCTTGATGCTGTGGGGAAGTCATCACTTTATTTAGAAGTTGGAGATGTGGTACTGAATGCGCTTCTTTCTTTGGGGCAGGAACTTGAAGATCTTCTGCCTGCTAGACCAGAATTTCCTAATGTAATTGGTGATGCAGAAGAGGTAGATCTTCAGGAATTTGATACCACTCGTGGTTCAGGTGGTGGCCAGAGACGTGAAGCTTATAATGATAGTTCTGATGAAGAAAGCAGCCATCATGGACCTGGGGTACAGTGTGCCCATCAGTAAACATTTGTCTAAAAAGTTGCACAAGGATTTTCTTTGAAATTTTGCCTGACTTGTTTTCAACAATCCAACTGGATTGTATAAGTAATCCAGATGAACCAATGGACATCTATTGCTGTATGTGTAACTTTTAAATTGGTCTATAGTATCTACAGAGTGTAATTTAAACTAACCACAAAGCTTACATCTTCATTTTGACTGTGTAGCAGAATAAAGCACTTGAAAGGAAGACGAGACTCCTTTTCACATGGGTTTTAAGTTTGTCCTCGTATCTGTGCTTGATTTTTACCAGTTTTGTGTAGATTTTAAGTTTCATATTTTAAATTCAAATTCTACATTGTAAAGTTTGTGTACAATTTGTCCTGAGGCTTGGTATTTGGCTGCACCTGCATAAGCTGCTACAAGTAGAATAAAGAATTTCATAGCCTGTATCTGTCATCTAGATGCATGGTAAATGGGCTTTGCACATAATGGGTTTAGAGCTGACTGGGAACAATGGAAGACTAAATTAGAAGTGGTTGTAAGTTTTTTCTACCATCTTGTGAACGGTTTCTGAAATAAATAAAAGCAGTTGGTGTATAATATATTTCTTCTTGCCGTGTAACTTTTACTTTTGCAGTGGTTCTGACCATGTGTACCAACTGAGTATAGAGAGGTAGGTGCTTAAAAACAGAGAGAGGCTGAAGCTGCTTTAAAACCAGCTTGCAGTTTAAGTACTGTGTGTATAAATATTTTTCTTGAGCAGCAATACAACTATTTGGGTAGGGGAAGGCCACAGCCATGTCCCCTTTCTATAGAGAAAGTACAGAGATTTCAGACTGCCATCAAGAAGTTACAAACATTTGAAATGATTAAATCCTGTGCTAAATTAAATCCATGTCTTCAAACAAACAAAAAAACATGCCTGGCAATCTATAGTGGTGTTAACACAGTTTGTAAAGAGATGGAGATTAGTGTTGTACTTGACAAATATTTTTTACCTCAAAACATACTAAATGTTGTCAATTTTATCAGCTTTTCAGTAGTTTAAAATTTTTCTAGCTATTAAGATGCTTAATTTTCCCAGTTTCAGTCCTATTCCTTTTTATATGCATTTAATTGGTTTTAAAAAAGAGACCTTAAATAATTATCAGGTACAGCTGTCTTATTTTGCTACGGAGTTGGAGAACTGTGCATGAGTTGCTGTTCACCAGTTTGTTATAGTGTAGTTCCTCTTCCCCATTGAGTAGAAGTTGAAATACACTCTTATTTTTCTTTACAAATTTCAAGAGTGACTTTAAAAGCTTGTCAGGTAATTGTTGAATTCTTACCAGAGTGAGGTGGGAGAGAGGTGCTCCAGAGCTTTCAGTGCACTTGTAGGTGATGACATTGGAACATTGCGAAATGTGGATTTTAAACTGGAGCAAGAATAAACACTGTTTGGCTGCTCCTTCAGTATTGATTTATACCGTTGCAAGTCCTCTATTGAAGCTTTGTTTGTTCTCACTTAAACTGCAGGTTTTGGCTTTGCATGAAGTCATAGTTACATAGTGATCCTTCTGGTGTGTTTCACCAAGTTCATCATCTTAAGCTGTAGTGTTTAATAATTAATGTACTTGTCTAATGCTTTCAGATACTGGTCTTCAGATTTACCTCTAAACTTTAGACTCTAAAATTTTTTTAACTCTAAAATTTATCTCTCTAAAGTAAATTGTTAAAGTTGTGTTTTTTGGTGGAGTGGGGAGGAATTCGCTGTAACTTCTTAGATAGCATATTGAAGTGAAAGGGGGGGGAGGATGTAGATTTGATCATTATATGTAGTATGGATTATTAGTCATTAATTTAATTTAGGCTCCTGACAGTAGAATCTGACCATATTTCCAGAATTGCCTTTATTCTACACATCTCCTCTTTCTACAGAGTTTTAGTGTGGTAAAAGTCATACATAAATTTAAAACTTATACAGTCTTGACTTCAGTACTAAACTTGGAAGTAATATAATACCACTGTCAGTAATTTTGTTTGGTTTAGCAATAAACTTTATTGCTTTACTGCAGCTGCTGCCTCGTTAAATAGGCCAATGTGCTTGTCCTATGTGAAAGAAGCATTAGTTGCGTGTTCTTTGTAATAAGTGGTGCATTGTGATATGTAGGTCAGAGGTAGTACTACAGAGTAATTGAGTCTTCGGTGCTTCACCCCTTGGGATAAACGTATCAATTGATTAAGAAGGCCTGCATCACTGAAGAAGTGCACAGCTTGTGAGTTTGGCCCGTGTCAGGGCCCAGAGACACTTTCCTAGCTGTTAATAGTCTCTCTCTCTCTCTCTCTCTCTCTCACAAGCACACACACTCTAAGTTAAAATTCATGAGATCTTCAACTAGAGCAGGCCTGATTAAACAACAGGAGCTAATTCTGTAATAGATACCACTACATTCAGGCTTAAACCCCTCCAAGATCCACAGCTGTGCACTGTACTGGTTTTCAAAGCTATATTCAACAATGCATTTTTATGGAAATTGTAGAATACTGTCATCAAACATTCAGATTTCAGTGCTGCCTTGCAATGGGATATGCATTAGTGTAGCATATGAGGGAACAGTTAAATCATTCATCTTGAAATACCAGCTTGTCTTCAGGAATCAACATTGCTAACAAGCTGATGCGATGCTCTCATCAATTTAGGTTAATTCAAAAAAACTTAGTTGTAATTGGGCAGTATTATGACTGACTTCTAAATGTAGAATGTTTCATACAATTCTTAATGCTATTATTAGAAAAAAAAGCATATCTATATTCTGGTTATCAAGTGAAAATAAGATTATTCATCAGTTAGGCTTAACTTAATGTTCTTGACCAGCTTTGACTTCCTTGTCCTAGGAAGTGCTTTTTTTTCCTTAATTGAAACTTGTGACCCTTATCTCACTTTTTTTTTTTTTTTTTTTAAGACAGAAGAAAAAACTGTTAGAAGCTAAAATTGCTTAAAATATGCTTAAAGTTTTGAAAGTGCAAGTCTTCCCTGCTGTCGTATCACAGTGAAAACAGTGAAATCACTCCTAGCAGACTAAAAGCCAGGAGTATCCTCAAGTTAATGAAAAGCTTAAGCAATTGTGGTCATCTTTTACTTGAAAAAGTTGTCAAAAGCTTTCCTACCAGAGAAAATCTGAGCTATTACCCTATCTTGCAAGTTATACCACAACAGAAGACTGGAAATAATTCAGTTTATTTGTGTTAGATTTATATCTATGTTACCAGAAAACTGAAGCTGCATATCTTAAAGTTCTGTTAAAGAACTTAAAAACCTGCATTTCATTTTAAGGCTTAAGTAAAATCTCTATAACACGAAACATGAATAGTAACAGCAAACCAATAGCTAAATAGAATTCTTCCATGCATGCCAGAAACAACGTAAACTGTAATAAGAAGTAGCTTCCTACTTCTAGCTGTGTAGAAATATCAGTTAGACCTTAAATCTTTTGCTACTAAATCTTGTTTGCTACATCAAGGTATTTTTCCTTTTACTGTGAACTGAGCTAAAATGCCAGCTCAAGGCTTGTACAAAGGTGGAAAAGTAAAATCGCTTCCTTTTGCATTTGTGTCCTTTATGGAAACAAGGAAAAACATGGATCCCATTGTATGCTTTTATGTAAAAATATTTATTCAGCAGTACACAGCTTTATTAAGACATTGTAGATATTCTCTGAACACTTTAGAGGAGGAAGGTAAGAGCAGTTGTGAATATTCTGTCATTGCAAGGCAGTTCCGTTAACTTGACTTAGCAGTAGCCTTTCCACATAATACAGTCAGCTCACTCTAAGGGTGAAGAAAATTCACTTTAGTTCAAGCTAACAAGCAAAGTTTAAAGGAAATTAAAAAATTAGGTGCTGTAGATGTAATAAGTAAATCCCTGCTCTCTGCTTACAGATGCAGATACGCTGTTACCAAATCTGACTTCCGCACCTTCATCTTAACTTATTCCAGCCACATTCAATCACTCCCACCCACAAGACTTCTCTGATTATTATCACTGATTGTCCAGATGGATACCTATTGCTCCAGATGAATTCATCCGGAAGCTCTATGCTTTGCTAAGAATGTCAGGCAGTGTGTGCTACAAAGTTCTGTTCAGCTTTATTCTTCTTCAAAACAATTTACTTCCTAGAGCCAGAAGTAAGGTAGTTCATGTTCAAATACCAGTAGAGAATTAACAGTAGTTCTTATTCAATAATAGACATAGAACAACAGATTTTAACAAGAACTGAAGCTTTGCTGTAACTTTGTAAGCTTTTGTGGATGGGATAAAGTATGGCAATTTGCACACTGAGCAATCTAGAAGGAAAAGCTTATAACTCTGTTCTATTCCAGGTAACTGTACGTGTTTCTGTAAGTGCTCTCCTACGCGTTTATCTGTGTACAGCAGTTGTCCTTTCCCTGTACCTCCCTCTCCCTCTCTCCTTCCAATTTCTGCCAGCCAACTTAGGCTTAACTTCTGAAGAAATACACAATTAGAATTAGCACCCACAACATTTATCTCACATGAAAATGCAGAACTGGGTGTTGGAATGCTTATATGCAAGTCTCCTGGTTTAAGCTTACCACTAGGTTATGAATGTGCTGTACTGTATCTTGATTTAATAGTTGAACATCAAAGTTACGGAGGTCTCCACCAGCCATACGGAGCGTCTAAAAACATGAAGAGAAAGTTTCAAAAACTACTCCAAACGTCTATACTTGCACTGTCAGCTTCTCTGAAAACCAGGTGCTGCCCTGCTACATTACAAAACATTGCTAATTGTTCTTCCTTGTGTTTAGCAGCTCACATAGGGACAGCGAGAGCTATCTGTATTAGACAATTCACAGCTCAACTACTGTAAAGTATTTTAGAATTTTTTTTTAAAGGAAGAGTTTCATACCTGTCCATCAGCCAAGGGAATGTTTACAAATGGAACCATTTTATCTTGGGGTACTGATTTACTTCTCAGTATCATGCCTTGAACTCTTTCACTGGTAGGTAAAGTTCTTGAGACAGCTTGTTGTAGTCCAGCACTAGAATACAAGTAAAATGTTACTATAACATTAGCTTCCTCTATTCTGCACATTTTTTGTGCAAGAAGTTTCTGCACATGGTAGCAAGCATACCTAAGAAAAAAGCCATCTTGTTTGCCTTTTTCAGTGCTGCCAAAGGACTGCAGGAAATCTAATAGCAGCATTTACTAGCACACTAGGTAATATTTTCTGACCGTGACGCTTTTTATTGCTGTGTTACAGGCCTGTAAGCAGGCTGACATTTGGACCTCTCACTATCAAGGACATCCACTCCCCAATATGAACAGTGACAACAGTTTTGGAAAGAGAAAACTGTGCCTTGAGGCTTAAGATAAGACTTGCACTATATCTGTTCACTTCAGAGGGAAATAGCAGGACGTTCCAAAGCTGCTACCTCTTAGAGGTACAGGAAATGCTGTATGTATAGAATTCCTACACTTGTTTTGTATTTTTTTAAAGGCAGGATTTGGACATTTTCTAGGAGGCAATAAGCCTCTGGCATTTGTAGTAAGCCAAGGTGAAACTAAGCAACATGTTGGTTTCATGACCCAGTTAGTTACCAAAATCTTACACCCTTCCCTCTTCTCTTCTCCCTACCCTTAGGTATTTCGGCTGCCGACTTCTGTCAAAACTAAACTGTTGCTTATGGAAAATAATTGAAAACCTAAACTGTTCAAAAAGGATACAACTGTGATAATCAGTTTTTTAAAACATGAGCATATTGGTCACATTTTAATCAAACATATGCTCTGAGGTCGTAGCATAAATTCTAAACTATACCTTTAAACAAAAGGAGAAAGGAGTAGAATGTATACTCCATTCATGTTTATTGAGGTTTTTCCTTTTCTTTGAAGGAAAGAAACAAACTGGCTTAGTTGTGACATTGCATTCTGTACCTCCATGAAAAAGTAAGCTAACGCCCATGCTCAAAGCAGGAGGTGCAACTGGTTCACATCCCCACTACCAAGTTCAGTGGCAGACCATGAAGACCTGTTAAATCGAGATGGACATGCAGTGTCTTGGTGCTCCTTACCCTTTTGATACTTTTGGCGTGGCTTTGAAATTTGTGGCATTGCAGTCAGGGGCAAGAGTCTTAACAGCCTCATTTATGCTTGTGGAAGAGTAAACAGACCTAAAAAAATAACAAGAGTAGTGATTTATTTTAATTGCTTCCTCATCTACTTCTACTGTAAAAGCTCCAGCTTAGATGAAAACAGACAGTGAATTAGAGAACGCTGTAAGTGTTCTGTAACATATCCAGTTTATATACAATGAAGAAGCCCTCAAATAGATTCTGAGCTATGCTGGAACCTAACATGACAGGTGAATGAAAGGTTTGGTTACATTAGTAGATAAGGGACAGCTGCAACTCCTGATGTGGGGGATACTTAAAGCATCATCCCCAGCTTTGTTTCAGCATACAGAGATGATCATCTTGGGAAGTTGCTTTTACAGTAGGATTTCATTTTACTAGTTCAGCTCTCAGGACACTTGTTATGTATGGCTGACCTGAATCCACAGAACAATTTTTTAATTTTTGACTTTTTTTTTAATTGTTGGGCTTTAACTTGGTTCACAGAATTTTTGATGACAGAATTTACCTCTGCTCTTTCCTCTCTTTTCCCACTCGCATTTTGAAGACTAAAGGCATAATTTTGTCCCACTGTTACTGCACAGAATAAATGCAGCCTGAAAAGCCAGACTTCTCAGGCAAAGCAACCTCCTGTAGTTTGATTTCATCAAGACAGAAACTAAAAAAATCCCAATTCAGGAAAATAATTGTACGTGGCTAAGACTTTATTTCTTTTAGGCATGTTAAGCACTGATATTATTTCAGTTGTTTTTCTCCAAATACAAATTGAATGTACCCAAATAAGTGCCAGTGGATTCAGGGATGTACACTGGAACAGGAGCATCTCAAAACGCTTTTTCAAGCAGATATATCCACTGTTTTTTATTCATTTATTTTAATTCATTAGATTTTATGGCGAGACTTAAATATTGTCTATCCTAAGTACCACAAAGGTGATTTTGCAAGCATCTATTTCCCTGCTAATGGTAACTTCCTTTCTGCTATGTCTAAGGGCAAAATTATTACACAACAGTTCATTACTCATAGTAAGAAGCAACAAAGACATTTCCCTTATGTGCTGTCTTTCAAGAAGTGATGTTTGTTAGTCTGTGCTGGTAACACATTTGGAACTGCACACCATGTGGTGAGCGAGAGAACTACGTCTTTCAGCTAGATGTCAGCTAGATGTGCTTTTTTTTACCTCCGATACAAGTTACGGAAGCCATCTCTATCAGAGCGTTTATAAGGCTCAAATTTCATCTACTTTTGAGCATGATTCTGTGCAGGATTTACCAGTTTAAGTAAGTTATGTATCAAAGGTCAGGCTTACCTAGAAAGACTGTGCAGTTTGCTATTTAAACCAGAGCTCAGTGAAACCAGTGACTTTGATTTGGATACCTGAGAACGTGCATTAGACTGCAGTTAACAGAAATGGCATCTTAAGGCAAAATGATAGACATATGATAGATACTTCCAGGAAAAATACTGGAAGAATTCCATGTTCAAACAGAACAGTTAAGCTCCACAGTGCTGCTTTTTGCTGTTTTACATATTTTAGAAACCACAAATACACATTTCAAGTTTTTTTGATGTAAAACTGTACTGAATTTCAGTATGAACAAACACAAGCAATAGCTTTTCTAACATACACCTTTCCAACACGTAGCCCTCTTGTAATTAAGACCTGTAACTCCACATACAAGTTTTGTCTTCATTGAGTCATCCTGGCACATTGTGTTTGGCTGAGGTACTGCACTGCACAGGACTGAGGTGGTAGAATTAATACACCTGTGCTATCTGGTTTACAGCTCCATGTGGATAGGATGCACTAGTCACCCAAACATAACGTCTATTTTTAACACAAAGTTGAGTTCTAAAAAAATGTTTCAGATAGTTCCTCAAAGCATCAAGACTTATTGGCAAATCAGGAAAGAATGACTACTTCAGTATGTGCAATTCTGTGTGAATGAGTTACACAAAGAGCAGATAACATTTTATTATGAAGTTAATTTACTATGCAAATTGTCTTGCTTAACTGAAAATAAGCTGAAAGAATTTATTGTTCAAACAGACAACAGGCTACTGGCCTGTCTGGTAATGGACAGAGCAGGGTTCATAGCACGTCACAACTGATTAAACCCTTACATTGTTTATTTAGAATAAACTTACTTTTTTAGGTATTTTCTTTGCAGATGTATACTTGGCATCTTCATATTCAACAATTGTAGTTACCTTAACTAGAAATGCATTTGAAAGACAAGAAAAGAAAAAGAAGTCTCACAAGAGGCATACGTTACTTCGAACTTTTTTGTTTGAAGGCGATTTACCCACCCATAGTTAGGTATCAGTTCTGCTGGGTGATGATCACCCACCTGGGACAGAATTCAAAGCCAACTGTTTGTCACAGACAAAGTGACACATCAAATAGTTAAAAGGCACCAGATAACCCTTTAACTCCCAGATAAAACAGAACTGCATTTAAGTAGTAATGTCACTTTTATGGCATAGTTCGGACTATAAAGATGAATGTTATATTCTTTACAGAGCTTAGAGAACAGGAAGTCAAAGCATAATCTGTAATGTTCTGAGCTCTCCTGTTATACTGTAGAGCACTGATAAGGCTCTCAAATCTGTCTCCTTTCACCATTTTCAGTGATAAATCTAAAGGGCAGGAATTCTTATCTCATGTTTTGGAGCACTAGAACAGCAACACAGCACGTGATCCTTGTACTTTTAGTTAAGCACTTTCCTCTGAAGTTCTCCAGGCCTAATGTTCACATTCTGCTCAAAACACAACAAGGAGAAAATTTAAGAGCAAAGCTACATAATAGAGCTGCTTGCCTTTTTTACTGTTGGTCCGTGTCACTTTTGCGTTTGGTACATCTTCTAGGGTACAATCTGTCTGTAAGACATTTATTCAAAAAGATTAAGTGAATATTTTTTGTTCAACAGATACATTTTATCTTATAGAAAGCAATAAATCAAAAGGGCGTGGAAGAAAATGACAGAAATGGCTGAACAGCAGTTTATTTTTCAGAAGCAGCTGTACTTCTTGCAGATGACCATAAATGTTTAGTAATGTTACTGCACTGTGGCTGGCTGTCTAGCCTTTTATATGTCTTCTGTTTAAACAGGCAGATTAACAAAGTAATTTGTCTGAAATCTTTACAGCAGAAAGAAAAGTTTCTGGTCTGTAAGCTGTGATAAAGTTAAAAATACACACCGCTGCAGCAGCAAGGGCCACTTCCTCCCCTTCTTGCAAATCTGTGACATAAGAAAGCACAGCTTGTTTACATACTGTTGCTTGAATCATTATTATCTGCAGGTTCTTATCTTTCAAAGTATGGAAATGAGCATGTCATTCAGAACTGTAGTTGCCTAAATAATTCACCTTCACTAGCAAATCCCTTAGGACAGCCAGTGTGCAAAACAACGATAAACAAACATCCTGGGCCACTTCAGTAAGTTTTATCTGTAGAAGAACAGTAAATTTAGCCAAACAGTACACAGCCTGAATTAAAAGCAGCAATGCTCTGTGCTGCTGGAAGCCAATGCTTTTAGGTAGCAGTTTTCAGGGAAGGCACTAAACACACCTTCTGCAAAGGCTTACAGTCAACTCAAGATCGCAGAGCCTTCATTGTCACCAATATTAAATGCTGCATTCACACGCACTTACTAAGCAAGTCCTTCCTTTTCATCTTTCTGATGGCAGTCGGCATCTTCAGCAGTTCCACCATGAACGCTTTCTCAGCCATTTGCAAGAGCAAATCGAGTTCTTTCTTCATTTCCCGGATGCTTTCCTTGGCTGGAAACCAAACGGGCGTTTATCGCCACACGCCTTACCTGCCTCCGAAGCCAGCCCCGAGGTGCGGCAGCGCCAGCCCGCCGGCCGCTCCCCGCCCCGACGTCCGTCACGGCGCCCCCTGGCGGAGCGGTGCTTCCCGCGCAGTCCCACCGTTCCGCGATCCGCCACAGCCTCGGCCGCCCCGACGCGCGCCTCACGGGACGCCGCGCGGCGCCCCGCCCCGAGCCCCTCCCTGCCGGCCGGGCGGGCCCGGTACCGCCGCCTCAGCGAGCCCGGAGGGGGCCGGCCGGCCTTACCCTGCTGGTCGAAGTCGCTGAGGAAGAGCGCGATGCGCTGATCCTTCTTCTCCTGAGAAAGGGCTCCGCGGTCGCGCTCCACGCCCGAGTCGGTGCTGCGCCGCTTGGCCGGAGCCTTCTTTGGGGGCATGGCTGCCACCTCGCGCGACGGACTCGCCCCTTCCGCCCGGAGGCTTTTGTACGAGCGGGGGCTTCTCCCCCCTTCCCCTCCTCTCCTCTCCCCTCCCTCCGCCTCCTCTCCCTCCGCCTCCTCTCCCGGTTCCTGGCGGTCACACCCCCAGCTGCGTGAATCGCCTGAAGGCGGCGCTGCCGACCGGCTTCCGTCCGACGGGTGAGTCGTGGCCGGGCGGCGGGGTGCGGGCGGGCGGCCGCTGCCGCGTGGCAGTCCGTGAGCGCGGTGCGACCTGAGCGCGGTGCTCCGCAGGCGGGGCGGCACCGGCAGCCCGAGCGGCCCGTGAGCTGGAGCGGCACGAGTTGCGTGCGCTGAACCACGGCTTTCGTTGAGGACCGCTTTCATCGTGAGGTGCGGCGCCTCGTGGCGAGCTTTGCAGCGTTGTGTCAGTGAGGCGGGACACGGAGAACAGCCGCTCTTTAGTTTAATATGCGCTTTATTATTTGGAAGTTTCATACATTGAAGTACCATTATAAGGAGCACCTGTAAGAAAATCAAACCTAGAAGCATGCATTTCAAAGTAAGGATTGTCTGTTATTAATCAAATGTTTAAAAGACATCGAAAATAAACCTCCTTTTTCAGCTTTACGGGATTAATCCACGAAAATGCACATTCAGCTCATCACGGTACACACAGACGTTGCGGATGGGCAGCAGAGATCACTGCCCTTCTGTATGAGATGCAAAGTGTCATCCCTGCTAATGTCGGAAACACAAAAGGCACCATAAGAGAATGTTTAGAAAAAACTGTTTATGCCGTTCTATTTTGATTTAAAAGTGTAAGAATTGCTGTCCTGGCATAAAACAAAAAGCCTTTGACACCTGTAAAGTATCATTAGAAACTTGTAAACCTTTACACTTTTCCAGAAGCATTGGGTGCAAAGGCAAATATAAAATCTATTGAATTCTTAGATTACAAATGCTACCCTATGAAAAAATCTATAGTTACAAAAATATAAAAGATCTTCTAACTCCGATTGTTAGATCCTAGCTTCAATCTACACCACAATGCAAGTTCGAAGCCAGATAGATCTGATTTAGACACATTTATAGAATAGGAAAGCGCTGCTTGTCTTATTTTTAAATCAACATTCCATCCACTTACTACAGTTTTGCCTTCTAAATTTGACTTATTACTGCATATTAAAGATGCCAAATGGAGAGTGATAATGGGTAAAAGGCTGCATTTATCAATGGATAGTAGCAACATATCCATTCCCAGTCTGCTTTCCTTCCAGAAATCCATTTCTCTATAGATAAGAGAAAATATTTTTATTTTTTATTTTTATATAGTGTTGTTTTTTTTTAACTCCAGCCTCTTTGTGTAGCACATGCAGTTTTCCTTTATGAACTTGTAATCACTGGCAAATGATTGAGAAGTACCAAGTTCTTCCTTGCAGGCTTTTGTGAGAACCAGTGAGAAGGACAGCAGCTGCCAGTGCACATCACAGCCTGGTAGCTGCTGCTGGAAGGACAGGTATTCGCAACACCTTGCGCACATAAAAGATTGGCACATCCTTTATCCATGCAGTGCTTTTTTAGCCCTTGGCTTTATATTCTGGATCAGCACAGGGTGCTGAAGCAGCTCTAAAGGCAGCCTAACTAAGTGCTATTAGGCATTAAAATGAATTTACTCTAAATAATAATGACTAGATGAAATGAGATACTGATGAATTAACTTTGTAAAATGCTGAGCTTAAGCCTGACAGACTGTAATGCTTTCCTGGCTGAATACTGGAATACATTTCTTGGCCAAAGGTGTCCAGCTTCCAGTCTGGACAAACTGAAGCCTTCTTCCTCTGTTCAGTGGAAGTAGCATAGATCAGTGCAGTAATACCACTTTTCTCCTAGATAGTGACCTGCTTTAGCTGGGTTTTAATAAGAACTCAGACTCAGTCAGCCCGCAGTATCACTGTGGAAGATTTAACATGAGCTGTACTATAGTTAGCTTTTTGCTAGGTGTGCAAGACATTTCCCTCTAAGTACCTTTTCTTTCATTAGAAACCACCCCCAAACATTTCTTCTGATCACAACGTTTGTTAGTCCTTGACTTAGCTGGCTGTGTTTTAGCCAGCTAATGGCTCTTCTAATGATGTGGCTTTGAACAAATGTTCTCTATAGATAAAGCAGTTCTTTATAAAGTAGTGTTTTATTTTACCTTCTTTGAAAGCATTCACAGTACTCATAGGTGCTTTGAGACAGTAGCTTATTATGTTGCATGTATATAAAATAAGTGAATTAAAGAGTCTTGTGGAGTCGTTATAAGAATAAGCGTTCAACTGCTCTTATCTTATGCCGGGTTAATGTGTCCAACAGCATATGAACAAGAAGGTAATACTCCTCACTATGTTCCAATTTTACAAAAATAGGGTTTGAATGGACACCTTCTTCATCCCTTTGACCATAACTGTGTATTCTGCTCAGATTATGCTGTGATGGCAGAATTTCTTTATAACAGAAGTTCAAAGGTATCTACACACATCTGCCAGTGATTTTCTTTTAATAAGCATGTTGTACTTATGTGTTTAGTCAGATTCAGAGAACACTCCATACTTAAAAGAACCACAGCCCGGCACACTAGTCCCTTGTAGCAGGTTTCTGAATTTTTGCTGAGTTTTAAAAAGGAAATCATGTTCCTAGTTCCAATCTAAACAATTGTTCTGAGTATTTCTGTCTTGAGACAAACAAACTAAGAACAAATAACAGCAGTAGATTTCATGACCAACTCCCTTCCCCAACCTAGTGAGTCAAAAGTTCCAGAACATCACTTCCAACCAAGGCACAAAATCATTCACTGACTCTTTTCTTCCATTGCTTTCTTCACATTTTCCCCTTGCCCTTAAAAAAACCAGAAGTTGGTGTAACAATGTTGCATATTACCAGACATTAAATTCAACCGAGTTGTAGCTGTATCTGAAATAGATTCTATCTATTATGAATTTAGGTTAATTAGATGAACAGCACATTCTTAGCACATCTTTGTTCACTTTCGGCATTCACCTCGAAGGGGAGGAGATGGAGGAAAAAGCCGCAGCAGTTTCATGCATATTTTTCAAGAAACTTTATGTGGAAGTCTTTCATTTTCTCCATTAGGATCTTCAGCTTGTCTATTTGAGGAAGAATGGTCATTCTGAAAAGTAGTATTTAGAAAAAGAATTTTTAAAAAGCACCTTATTTTCAAAGCAAAGTAATGTGATCACTTCACAGATGTGACACAGCCAGCAGAACTGCTGTAGCTAAAGGTTCCCTCATCGCTTCAGACCAAACAAGACCAAATTCCATGCTGAATTCCAGCTGTTAGTGGCTTGGCTGTAATAAAATGCTATTTGTTGGAAGCAAGAGCAAGCAGTGGAGTTTATGTTCACAGTTTTGGTATTGAAGGATTTAGTCCTATTTCTTGTTTCAGTTAACTACACGTAATTAAGCATGTGTAAGGAGCAGATTAGTAAGGAAAGATACTGTAGATACTTGACTAAGGAAATGCTGTTTAATTCCCAGAAGAAGGCAGGGCAGTGTTATAAACACCCTAGCCAACTTCACAGCATAAGCTATAATGACTATTTGCAGAGAAGGCATTTCAAGTGTCAGTGTATAAAAATAGAATAAAACTATGTCAGCAAGCTGGGAGAACACCTGAATCAGAAGGAGAAGATAGAAGAGCAGGTCTTTGCCCCAGCAGAAATTGAGACTGTATGACTTTAAATGCAAGCCCTTATATCTAATCAGAAAAGAAAGTACTGGGGTAGTACTTAGCTTATTACAGTTCATTTCATGGATCAAACAGAAACTGTACCTGAAATGATATGTTCCTTCTCTTTGGCCAAATCCACTTCCAGGTACAACACAGATTCCAGTCTCTTCCAGAAGTTTCATGCAATAGAACATGTCAGGTGCCATCTTATGCGCCTGAGGGAATCGATGCGTTGGAATAACAAAGTCAAAATATCCCAAAGACATGTAATTTCACAACTGCTTTTTTTTCCTGAAACCTTGTCTTGCATTATTGGTTTCTTGTTCTGTTTACTAAATAGACGAAGAACAATTCCTAGTTGTACAATTCATGCTGTGAATTAAGTAACAGTAGTTTGTGGAGGAGCGAGGATGAAGAACCTACACCAAATATTTGCTTCAAAAGAGAGGTTCTATATATTTTTGTTTTACTCCTCGAATGGTTTGTAACTTTTGATCAAAAGTCACAAAATTGTACTTGGAGAAATTTAAGCCATATCTGGCAAGATGAAATTAATTTGAGCTGCGTGTTCCACTTTTGTTAGCAGTTTCTATTTTTTCCCTTATGTTATCTGCTGACTAGAAAGTCTCCTGATTAATACCATCCAAGTTCTTAAGTGCATACAATTGTACGCCTTGTCACAGAACGAGCAGGAAAGGAGCCCTATTTTTGTCCTCGCCTATGTACTTACAATTCCCTTTAAAAAAAAATGAGTATTACATATTGGATAACAGAGCTCCAGCTAGGAACAAAAAGACTTGTCACTGAGCTTACTGACCTATGAGAAAAAGTATTGTGCAGAACTAAAATCTGAAAGGAGATCTCCCTCCCTTTATCTCAACCTTGCTCACTGTGGCTTCTGCAGAGTCAGTAGTGCACAGCCCATCTCAGTCTCAGCCACACATCTTGGCCTACCTACGTCCACGTACGTCTCTATCCTACAGCTTAATCCATTTAACACATGGTAGCACTCTCAACTTGGAAGCCTAACGAGTGCTTTGCTTACTTCCCTCACCTAAAGTAAAGGCCATGTTGTATTTTAAATCATATGTAGTCAGTGAAGTACCACTTCTGTGACTAGTGGGCTTTCTCTATCTCTGGAATAGAAGTTCATCATTAGAAGTAGGGTAGATTTAGACTAGATAGAGGGTAGATTGAGACAAGGATAGATTAACGCCAGGTATTAGGTAGGAAGAAATTCTTTACTGTGAGAGTGGTGAGACACAGGTTGCCCAGTGAGGCTGTGGATGCTCTCA